TGTGCTCCAGGGGGCAGTCTTATGAGGGCAGGTGACTGGGGATACCTGGGGCTGGTGTGTATATTCCCATAAGGACTAGAGTTACCAGGTGTGCAGAGTTCTCGCGGGCAGAGCCTGCAAGGGGGCCACGGTTCCCATGGTGAACCCCTTCATGTGGCATGTGAGGCCCTGCTGTCTCAGCCTTCCCTACCCCTGCCCCAGCCACACTCCAGATCCCACACCCTGATCTCCTTCTCTTTCCCTTGCCCCTTCCTTCAGGCCTCCTAGTCTGAGAGGATGGGTCCTTGCTATGAGTCTTCCTAGATCCCAGGTGACGACCCACTCCCTGTGGCCAGTGTGCATCTCACTTCCATCCTCCTGACAGCAGGAAGCTCTGGGGAGCCAGGGGTCCTGCTAGCTTGTTGGCCAGGGCACCTCCACACCTGGGGGGCTGCCTGGCTGCAGCAGGAGGGCAGGCAGCACTGGGGGATGAGCGGATGAGAGGTGCTTCCTGTTGTGAGCGCTGAGAGTGGGGTGGTGTTCCCTCAGTGCCATTGATGTTTTAAGGCCGACTGGCTCAGTGAATGGCTTCTGAAACACGCTTGGGAAGGGAATTGTGCTTTCAGTGGGAGAGCAATGAAGAGGCCTAGAGAAGGAGGGGTTAAGGGAAGGACACAGAAAAGGTCAGTACTTTTAAGTGAAACACTTGCTTTCTCATATGATAAAACCACCTTCACTCAAGGGACCGTCTGCCAGTTGTAGGAAGACAGGAGGGAAGAGCGTCTCCTCTCATCCCTTCTTGGATCCTCAGAAAGTGTAACTTTGTTGCTGCTGCTTCGGCCTCCTCCTCTGAACCACTGAGCCCGGGAGGCCGGCAGGGAGGGTGAGCCAGCGGCACCCCGGTGTGCAGCAGGTGTCAGCAGGGGCAGACAGTCCTCTTGTGAATGCTGCAGAGGGAGCACAGGACACTGAGATGGCGTCGAGGGGAGCGCTGCGGGTCCCGGGAGAAAGGCCCTCACTGGGAAGTGTATGTGTGCAAATATAGCCACGGGGCTATGTCTCCAGCTTGTTTCTTGGCCTCCATTTCTATGTATATATATATTTTAATATATATATTATTGATTTTGTACAGAGAGGAAGGGAGAGAAATAGCAAGTTAGAAACATCGATGAGAGTCATCAATCACCTGCCTCTTGCACACCCCCTACTGGGGATATCCCTCAACCAAGGTACATGCCCTTGACCGGAATCGAACCCGGGACCCTTCAGTCCCCAAGCCGACGCTCTATCCACTGAGCCAAACCAGTTTCGGCTGTCTCCATTTCTTGAATGTTGGCTGTCTCTTTAGAAAACAGGTACTGTAGGAAGTAAGCCTATAAGGTTTTCTAAAAAATTTTAAATGTTTTGTTTCCAAAATGTGTGTTATGCTCAACCTTTAAAGAACATGTATATCCTGCGTTCCGGTGTCATCCCCACCATCTGCTCTCAATACAGGGTGTTGATGGACACGTTTGTGCACTGGAGGAGGAACTCTGGAAATGTAATTTATTATGTGACTTGGTTGAAAGATCACGTTACAGGAAATCTTCTTAGGGCTCTACTGTGGAGTCTCCTCTGAGACTGTGCCCTTTGGCCACTCCTTTATGTGCTTCAGAAAGACGGTCTTCCTTCCGAATTGACCGAAAAGGCTCCTATCTTTATTTCCAGATGTTTAGCAGCAGAAGGCTCAGGTTAGGTTCGGGTCTCCCGAGTCAGTCCGTGGAGGAAGCCTGGGACCGTCTGAGGTGTTCTGTACAAAGCTTCCACTTCCTGAAAAACATGGGACTTTGGACCCAGGCTTCTGAGATTAGGAAACAGGGTTGTTCGTGTTTGCTGTCACTGATGGGCCATTGTGCTGATGTCAGCGTGTTCAATCTGGGTTTCAAGAATAAATCAGGTGTTTGCATGAAAAAGCTGATTGTGAAACAATCTGTGTTCTCAGTTTCCAAGGCTACACTAGTTCACAAGCAAAAGGCACCGTGGCTGCTGTAGGCTGACTTTAACCCTCAAATGTATGTAAAACTGGCACACTGAAATTGATATATAATTGTGCTTTCAATCTTTTGGTTTCAATTTTTTAATTGGTCAGGGCTAAATCTGGATAAAATTTTCACATCACAAATTGTGGAAAGTGACATCTTAATAGTTGAGTTTATATTAGTGTTTATGTTTTTATCAGAAATTAGAAAAACTCCCAGATGCTGTGAAGTCTACTGAGTCAGCTTCCTGATAGAAATATCTGAATGTGGCCTGGAGTGGATTATCCCTTCCTGTCCTCACTGGACTCAATTCCTTGGCTTCCAGAGTACTGTCACCCCCTGCTGGCCAGTTCTGGAACCACAGTCTCATAACTCAGATGTATGGGGAGACCACAGGTGGAGGGGCAGGTACAGTGCAGAGTGGTGAATTCTGCAGATGTCAGGAGAGAATTCTCTGGGAGACCAGGTCTCCCAGCCTCTGATGTGGGGAAGGCTGTGCAGAACAGAGGGCATATGCCCCCTTTTGAGGGTTGGATGAGACTTTCTCGTACACGAACCTGGAGGTGGGGGAAGGTCAACAGAAAGGGTGTCCCAGCAACAGGCAGCGCTGCGTGACGGGGAGCAGGTCAGCAGGCAGCACTGCACGAGGGTAGGGGCCTGTTTCTTGGGTTGGTGTGAGGGTTGGGGACTCACAGGGTTGGGGACTCACTAAGGGTGACTGGGTAAGGTCGAGAAGGGTCTGTGCGCTGGGGTAAGACGCTGAGACGTCTCCAGACGCCTGAGCACATGCTTCTTTTCTCTGGAAAATGGGTCACCATGAAGACAGGGTTCCAGGTAAATACAGTTAAGGTTGAATTTAAGAAAAATAATGAACAATTTTTTAGTAGAAGTCTATCCATATGATTACATTATTCATTGTTTATCTGCAGTTCAAATTTAAGTAGGCATCTTGTGTTTTATTTGCTACATCTGGCCACCTTAAAAGATCATCATAGAGCAGAATGTATTATCGGATGAATTCTTATCCTTGGATATTAACCCAACTATAGGTTGAAAATTAATTAAAGCAAAGATGTAACCAAAATTATGTTGTTAAAGCAAAGATACAAGAATTGTAAACCTCTGTACTGGCTAAGATTAAGTTATGCTTTTAACTTGTAAAGCGGGTGTAAAAGGCTGTTTGCTCTCACTCAGCAGGAGGCTAATCTTCCTACAGATGTGCCCGCAGAACATGGTACTGTGTCCGAGACCCGACTGATTAGGCGAGTAGTCCAGCTGTAATAGAAGCTGAAGCACAGGGACAGTTTTGTCATCTTGGGGTAATGAAGCACCTTGTGGGCATGATTGACATATTGGTCTCTTTAAAAAAACTTTCAGAGGGTTTTGCCTTGGTCCCTTTCCTCCTGAGACTCCCCTGAGGCAAGCAGAAGATGAAAGTACTTTGGTGCAAGCATGTGCATGTGTGTTTGAAATTCTATTCCCAGGAATTCAGGGTCTGGAGAACAAGCATCCTGAGAGTCTGTCTCTTTGGTATTTTCTCCCCTATTGTCCCTGCTTCCCGCAACGTGCTGGATGGTGTGCTGGGGAAAAGCGGAGATGGTGGCCCAGTCCTTGTCGCTGGGGATGGCTGGGGCGCTGTGCCGGATGTGCCGGGCTGGGTGGTAGGGACCTGGAGTTTCCCAGTGGTCCAGCCATGACTCACCGGCCTGCCTCTGGGACTCCTGCTCCTGCTCCCTGGACTGCTGCCATCTGGTTGCTTGGGCCTGTCAGGCTGGGCGAGAGGGGGGAGGGGAGGGTGGGACCAAGCAGGGGCGCCTACACCCTAGGGGCTCATGCTTCAGGAAGTTGAGAGGGTGATTCCTGGCCTCGATGTGAGCTGACGCTGTGGAGCATCCCCCTGCTGTAGCCAGGCTTTCAGAATCGCCCTCGCACATGTGGGTGCTCCTGGCTTTCCAGGGACCCTCTTCCTTTCAGTCATGTGGTGTAAGACATTAGCTATCACTTATGTAGACTCAGTCAACGACTTGCCTAAAAACAACAAGCACCCTTTCTCCTGTAAAACAAAATGAAACCAGAACTTCTAAAGAACTTAGACTCATTACTGATAACAGTTCTAGGATTTCAGCCGTGAGTTTCGGTGAGAGCCACAGAGCAGTCATCCTCGGTCACAGGAAGAGGCATGTTTCCTTGAGAATCGAATATTCCCCATCTCCAGGAAGCCGATGTACAGAAACTGTAATGGCCATGTTTGTGTTCCTCACTGTTCACGGGGACACAGAAACGTACCCAGATTCTCCATGCTGTAACCTATGGCATTTACAAAGCCATAGCCTGCACCTCCTAATAGCCGCTTGGGACTTCTGGTAACTAACAAGTCAGACGCTGATTCCTGGAAAGTGCTGTGAGTCATGCCACGCTGGTTTTCTCTGAGTAGAAATCTGATTTTTTTCTTCCAACACCAGCATTTAAATGACGTATCTAACCATAGGCTCCGTTCAGATGGGCCCTGTGGTCAGGCCAGCAGCACAGAGCGAGCCTGCCTGCTGCCGCGTTGTGGGAGTGGGTGCTGCCAGGGCACCTCTCCTGGTGCAGCCACCATAGGCGGTGGTGAGCAGGCCGCGCCGAGCTCGGTGGAGCCCAGGGTGTTGTGGAGCCATCCCTGCTGCCCCTCAGAGGCCACTTGGAGGTTCTGCCTGTGGCTTATGCCTGCCTACTCTCCTCACTCGCTGTCCCTGGCTGCCAGACCTCTTGCTTTAGACAGTAGTGTCACCCCAAATACACGCAGATCATTCACTGGGTCTGTGAGCCTTCACAGGAGGTATAGAACAGGGCTTCAGAGTAGGGCTGTACATACATGAACGAGGCTGAGCAGATGCACCCACCCTCACGCAGAGTACACAAGGGTGGCGCCCTCATTGTGGGAAGCCTGTTGTCTGTATTTAATGTGGGAGCACATTTCCTGGTCTGTTTTTCTGACCATAGGCATGTCTGTCTCCATTATAGGACTGGTAGCCATAAAGGATGCCCATGATATAGAGACCAGGCTCAACGAGGTGGAGAAGTTGCTGAAGACCATCATAAGCATGCCATGTAAGGTGAGTGGGTCGGGTCCGGCTGGTCAGGAGGGTGGCACATCCTACCAGCATCCACGTAGCTGTTCTGCTGGCTCCCTTGGCCACCTGCCCCTCCCGGGAAGGCCATAGGGAGGTGGGTGGGTAGACCCAGGAAAGAAAGACTTGGGTGAGCTCCAGTGCCTCCATAGTTTCCTCCCTGGGCAAGTGGAAGGGGGGGGGGGCGGGCAAAGAGGTGTTGAGTAGGGAGGGAAGGGCTTGGCTTTTCTGCTTCCATGCAAAAGGCCTTGCTGAGGGTGTCTGAGGAGAGGCGTGAGGAGTCCGAGGGAGTGTTGGCCTCAGCAGTGGCAGGTGGATAAGCAGCTTGCAGGCCTGGGTGCAGTGGTGATGAGGAACTGGCTGCTCAGGCGACCACCTTACTCCTGAGGCTGTTGCCTGCCTCCTCTGTGGGTGGGAGAGACAGGGCGCTCAGTTTACTGTGAAGTGAAGGGAGCTGTGGGAAATGCTGGCCATGCAGCACTGAGAGAAGCTAGCCAACTTCTGTCACCCCGTCCTGCCAGTCCCAGAGGCTTACATTCCAGCCACATGTCCATAAATAAATGAGGTCAGCGATTGCAGCCTCTTCTGCATGGTTGGTCCTGTGAACAGCTCTGGGTAGCACTAGAAGGGCCACCTTGTAGAGGATAGATTTTAGTAATTATCCAATTTCTCCCCAGTATTCTAGGTCAGAAGTCGTGCTCACCTTTTTTGAAAGATCTCCTCTGGATCAGGTGCTAAAAAATGACAGTGTACATAAAATTCAACCCAGCTTTCAAAGTCCAGTGAAAATATCAGGTAAGAGCTCAGGGAAGGCCTGGGGGAAATGCCGCTGGGCTTTCTGGGCGCCTTTTCAGTGCGGTGCCCTGGCTGTACCCCGCCCCCCCCCCCCCGGCATTGTGAGTAAGAGGCTGCTGCCAGATCCCTATGAATAGTGTTTTCTGACCTGGAGTTCACACTCCCCCTCCGTCCTCAGGGAGTTACTCGGCATATAGATTGGAGCTTAAGAAGCAGTATAATGATGAAAACATTAATGAGACATTTCTGAAGCAAACTTCTGGAGTCGGTAGTCTAGCCTGCTGAAAACGATAGTTCGCACAATGTGGCATTGAGTTGTTCTTAGTCTAGGGCAGCCGGGGCCAAAGGGGAGCACACGGTCTAGGTATTGCTAGCGTTGATAAATTCACCAAAACATTCACGAAAGAGGCAAGGTCAGCAGCAGTAAGCAATTGTGCACTGAACGGAGCGCTGGACGGCTCACCTGTGGGGTCAGGTGAACGGAAGGGGGCCCTGGACGTCACCCTTCGTGGTGGCTTTCTAAGGTTGGTTGCCCCTGTTGTTAGAACACGGTTGCTTTCTGCAGTGCTGTCTGCGAAGGCCGCTGAGGGAAAGAGCTGTGCCCAGGGTCTCAGGCAGGCACCGGGCTCCCCCAGGCCGCAGGCAGTCCGCTTGCTTTGGCCTAAGAAGTAGCATTTGAGTGGAGTGTGGCAGGGTTTGCCAGGTGGGAAGGGAGAGAAGGCAGTGGGCTGTAGGCTAACTGTGAGGGCCTGCAGAGCATCCTGGGCTTTAGGAAGGAGAGGAGGCATTCTGGAGGAGGAAAGAAAGAGGCAGAGTGGAGGAGCAGGCCCCTGGAGGAAGTACGTATATGAGCGGGAGAAGAGCCCAGAGCCGGCTCCTAAGAAGAAATTGGTGGTCATGGTGAAGGGGAGACTGAGGAAGCCAACCTGGAGGGTGGCATTGGTGGAAAAGTGTCCGTACTGAGTTCTGTGCCACAGCGGGGACGGGAGTCCTCATTGTGTGTTGGTGAAATGGGCAGGTGGGCGAGGTCTGGGGACCGGGATGAAGAAGGTACTCCAGGCATGACTGTGTGAGGATGGGGGGAAGCCTGGGTTGTGTGTCTGCTGCTTTTGCTGTCTATGCAGCTTCCTGTGTATTCCTGGCAAGAGGAGCAGCAGTCAGAGCTCTCCTCCTTCATGGTGGAGTGAGGGTAGCTGCCGTTTATCCTGGCGGGTGTCTGTGGGCTCCGGCTCGGAGGCTCGGAGGGCTCTGGGACCTGATGGGCCTGATCGCCAGTTTGCATGCTGCCAGCTAGAGCGGGCAAGCTCTGTCCTCAGAACGCGGTGGAAGGGTCCCAGCACTGGTGTCCCTGCTCTGCTTCAGTTCTCTCTGTGTTGAGCAAGTGGGAGAGCAAAGAGCAGCACAGTCCTCTCAGGACCGGTGTAGGCACAGGGGCTAGTGTGCTTCAGGTTGGCCAGATCCCTATGAACAGTGTTTTCTGACCTGGAGTTCACACTCCCCCTCCGTCCTCAGGGAGTTACTCGGCATATAGATTGGAGCTTAAGAAGCAGTGTAATGATGAAAACATTAATGAGACATTTCTGAAGCAAACTTTGAGTCGGTAGTCTAGCCTGCTGAAAACGATAGTTCGCACAATGTGGCATTGAGTTGTTCTTAGTCTAGGGCAGCCGGGGCCAAAGGGGAGCACACGGTCTAGGTATTGCTAGCGTTGATAAATTCACCAAAACATTCACGAAAGAGGCAAGGTCAGCAGCAGTAAGCAATTGTGCACTGAACGGAGCGCTGGACAGCTCACCTGTGGGGTCAGGTGAATAGAAGGGGGCCCTGGACGTCAAGGAGAAGGCCAGACTCGGGCTGGGTGGCGTGGCCTCTGAGTACCTCCCAGAGTGCGGCTGCGTGGAACATCCCAGCCCTCTTAGCGGCCTGTCTTATCAGTGATGGTGACGGGTAAATGCAAGGCCACGTCTGCCTTAAGGAGCTGAGAGGACTGAGAGGAAGGGATGGCGGTTGAGTTCCATGCTGACGTTTTAAGTATGTTCTCCTTGTTTTTTCAAGAGGACTGAGGACAGAGGCTTTGGCTTGCACTGTATGTGAGCCTCATGAGGCCTTGCCTGGCTGACCAGGGACACAGTGTCTGGTCTAGGGAGGCAGGGTGCTGATCTCGTGCCAGCGGGAACCCAGGTGGTGGTGGTGGGGGCATGCTCTGCCTTGGGACATAGCAGTCACTGCCCCCAGTGTTGGCTCTGCACAAAACACTTTGTAATAAATGGGCTGCCAGAAAATGGAATTTGTAAATTTCTACTGCAAGTCAGTCCCCGAAATCCCCCAGCCAGGGGCCCGTCCCAGGAACCCATGTGCGAGGTGGCAGGCTCGGGGAGCATCAATAGAACCCTTCCTGAGCTGAGTCTCTGACATAAGGGGTGACCTCCTCTTCTTCTGCCCTCATCAATGGAGCCCGAAGTCTGGGAGTCTCCCTTTGAAGCTTCCCAGCGCAGACTAGTGTGTAGGTGCGGGAGGGGGTTGGGGTGTTCCACGGAGTGGGGTGCACGCTCATTGCTCACTGCTCGAGGAGATATATGGACAAAGACAATGCACCGTGGTAAATTAGGAGACACTTTGCAGTGAAACTGAGGTTTGTGGTGGCACCGACATCCCTGTGAAGAACAAGTGCACACGTTTGCCAGTGGGGCCTTTCGGTCTCCGTCCCATATTCTAAGGCTGCTGCATTCAGGGGTCCCTCAGGCCTGAACATTCACAGTGTCTATATCAGCCTCCCTCTGTCCCTGGTTGATAGCCTGAATACTGACTGGTCATCCCACAACTCTGGCTTCCTGAGCTCAGTAATATCTTGCAACCTGGCATCCACAATAAAACACAAGGCCCCCATCATTCTAGGCATGTCTGAGTCTGGCTGGCTCCAGCTTTCTGATTTTGTCACCACAGCATCCTCTGCTGCAGACCCTCCACCACTTCCTGGCTGGGCTTGGCTCATGCTGTGTCTGCCCCTCCACATCCACTCCTGTCCTGCTAAATTCCATCCATTCGTGAAAATGACCTCGCTTGCTGCGACTCACCCAGCCCCTCCTCCTCCTCTCCCCGGAGATTTCCTAGTGCCTTCTCATGCCACTGACATGGTATTTAGGGGGTAGGTGCCATGGGAACGGGCCCCCTTGCTCTTAGAGGCTGCTCTTCACACTGGTGACAGGTGCATCAGACCACTGCAGGCCCAGCCTCCTAATGTTCAGGCTGTGCTGTGGCCACAGGCTCCACTAGGTGGCGCCAGGCCCTGGTGGTGCGAGAACCATGCCAGGTCCTGGGCCTACAACAAGGGCAGTGGATTCTCTGGTGATGTTTTGGGTCAGTACAACCTCAAACAGTCCTCATCCCATGTTAATCTAACTACTGTCAAACATAAGAAATGTAGAATATATGAATTAATGAACTGAAGGACTGATAACATATGGAGCACTGGAAACTATGGCTGCAGTTAAAAAAAAAAAAGCATTAACACAGTAGTAATTATTGCAGAAAAGATCTATCAATAGCTGCTAAGACTGGTGGGAACCGTTTTAGGAGAAATAGGATTTGCAGAATCTCGACGCACTTTTCTAAAGGCATTCCTTAACCATCAAGAGAAATGCAGAAACCTTTGGGGAGACTGGCAGAACCTCCTTTTGCAGGTGATCCAGGCCCACATCCCAGGAGTGAGGCCAGTGACATCACACACAGGGCTCCTGCTAGACTAACCACTGTGGTCAGAGCTCACACAAGTATCGGGGCATCGAGGGAAAATAACTCACCAGCCTCTTCAAAAGTGTCACGGTCATCAGAAACGGGAACAGACTGAGGAAGTGTCAGAGGGCATAGGAGACTAGGACACAACAGCTTGATGCACAAGGAGTCCTGCGTTGGGTCTGAAACCAAAAAAGCTGGTGAAACTCAAGGGAGAGAAATGCTCAGTTAACAGACCTGTGCCATGTAACTTCCTGCGGTAATTTCCATGTAATCCTACCACAGTTATCTACAGGGTCCACATCAGGAGAAGCTGGAGAGGGATATGTGAGAACTCTGTACTGGTCTCACAACTTTTTTATAATTCTAAAATTAGCTCAAAAATGTTAACAAAAATAAGAAATGGAAAAGCAGGACTCTACTTAATGTGAAAAAATGTAGCTTGAGAATGCACCATTTCATAGAATCAGTCATGCATGTGATTAAGTTGGCCAGTGATTTTTTTTTTTTTACTGTAGGTATTAAGCTGACTTTTAAGAAATTAAAATGTTGTAATTTTTCTGTCATCACAACACTGCTTTTGTGTTTTTTATTTTTATTTTAATTTGCATGACACAGCAAATATGAAGACATTAGCAACCACAGTAATAACTACCATTTCTCAAGTACCAGATGCTTATTCGGTCTTTACAAATACCACCTCGTTTAATTTGTACTGTGTCCTTTGGAGTGGATGCTGTTGTTCCCATTTTACAGAAGAAGAAACTGACTGAGCAAGAAGTAACCTGCTCCCCAGGCAAAAGTAGCAGAACTGGAGTTTCCTCAAGAGCCCAGATGGCCTTGCGAATAATTAAACCACATTTCTGTGCACAAAGGCTAAGCACAGGCAGCTAAGAAATGGTTTGCTACATGTCTATTTGAGGGGACTGGTCAAGATTCCAATTTTTAGAGCTTCAAGTTTCACATTTAAGAAAAATGAGAAAGCTCTAGCCGGTTTGGCTCAGTGGATATAGCGTCGACCTGTGGACAAAAAAGTCCCGGGTTTGATTCCACTCAAGGGCATGTCCTCAGTTGCAGGCTCCTTCCCAGCCTGGGCCCTGGTTGGGACTCGTGTAGGAGGCAACCCAATGTTTTTTTCTCACATCGATATTTCTCTCTGTCTCTCCCTCTCCCTACCACTTTCCCTAAAAAAATCAGTGGAAAAATATCCTTGGGTGAGGATTAATAACACAACAAAAAACACAACAGCAAGAAAGATTAGGGAGTTCCTTTACAAGGTATTTCTTCAGAAGGTTCAGAAGTGTTTGAGGCACTGATATTTGTTTTTACTTGTAAGGTTCCCCATCCCCTTGGTTGGGGGTGGGGTGGAGAAAGTGCCAGCGTTGGTCTTTGCTCCTTCTTGGGACTTGCAGGCTCTCTCGCTAGTCATGCAGGGAAGGTGGCGGCTCTGCTGGGCCCGCCTAACATCACCAGGAACTGGCTGAGCTGGTGTCGAGAAATCCCACCCGGGAAATGCGAGCTGTCGCCTCTCCAGAAAGCCATGTGGAAATTTTAGCAACTAATTACTTGGCAAATCTGAACAATGAGTTGTCACTTTAATTCTGTGGGGATGAGGAGGAAATCTTAAGCTTTTCTTTCTTCATTTTTGTATAGTTTCCCTAGTTCTCTTCTTATGGAGAGAAATTTAACAAACTGAGAACCAAATACCTGGAAAGATTAAAAATAAGCTTGGAGTTACAATTCCACTTATAAAAAACCCATGCATGGGAATAAAACAATCTAAGTTATGGTCAGATATAAGAAAAAGTAAATCTCCCAAACAATAATGTGCCAGGTGCCCAGTGAGCTGGGTGCCCTCACCGCCTGTGCCGTGCAGGAGAGGAGGGCCATTTGGAGCTGCGTGTCTGTGTGTTAGGCCCTGACTGGGAAGATGGTAATCCTTTGAAAAACCCTTTGAATTTGAGAATGCACCAGGAACTTTCCATTTGAGGATACTGAGTCCCCAGATCATAGAGCCCTGGCTGGGCTGAGCCCCAGCCATGCGGGTAACAGCTACCACGCCCTCAGGCACTGCCATTCCACCACTTCCAGCGCCCAACAGCCCAAGACCTGTGCCCTCGGAAAGCTAACACCACACAGCCAACAAGACATATTTTCTTTGTGGCCCTTTTACATTATCAAAGTTTGTGCTTGTTGGTAACAAGTCAATTTACATTGCAGAATGAGAGAAAGTGAAAAGTGAAGTTGCCCATTTGGTTTAAAATGCACACTGATCTCATTCGACCGTGCGGCAGCCCCTGGGGTGGGGCTGTGGTGGAGAGGCGGAGGGTACGCCTGAAGGTGCTACCCTGCCTGACAGATGGGAGCTTAGAGCCCTGCAGTGTGCCATGGGCCAGACCGGGTCTCAAACCAGACGGACAGATGTGGGCTCAATGCTCCAGCCTCAAACGCACGGGGAGGGTGTGTGGGAGAGAGCTCAGACATGCCTGGGGAGAGAGGTGCCTCCACTTGCACAGGCCGGCAGGTATGGCTCTTGTGCGGCTGTGCCAGCCCCTGAATCGTGTGCAGGACTCTAGGGTTGACTCCAGCTGCACCTGTGGGTGCAGAGTGTTTCTCTAACGTGTGGGGGAGACAGGGCCGCAGATGGAGGGGGGAGTCTGCAGATTGGTGTAAGCTCCAAATTTTAAAACTTAAAAACCCGACCCATCCTGAATATTTACCTTTTCCCTTCATTTTCAGAGATCATGAGGTCCAACGGATTTTGTTTAGCAAATACAGAAACTATCGTTATCGACCACAGTGTACCTAACGGAAAAGAGCAGCACCTGGGTGTGGATCCGACGGAGCATTTGTGAGTACCCTGGTCTGAATGTCGTTTTACAGATGGGATCCTGGAGTGTTCGGCTAGTTCACCCCGTGTGGAGCTCTGTAGGCAGGAACTACCTGTGCCCACAAACACCAAGCCATCCTGCCTGCATTTGGACACTTATTTGGAGAGCTTGGCTTTTCTAGAGGACATAACACCATGGTTCATAAACCATGAGAACACAGTTCCTTCACCCAATGGCTGGCTAAGTGGCCAAGCTTCAGGGTGTGGTTTGTGCTGGACCCTGAGGGGGTACCGGGCCCACAGCCTCCTTGGTCCCACGCCTGGTCTCCTAGGATGGGGAGAAGCGGCACTTGCACGTTGGCCTCACATCACAGGGCTAGACGTTCTCCAGACGCCCGGGTGCAGGGGCCTGGCCCAGGGCCCTGCGCTGAGGAGGGGAGGATGAGTAACTAGCGAAGGTGGGACAGCCTTCTCCGCTCTTCCTCTCTTTTAGCAGAACTTTGGCCACGAGTGCTCTGGGGAAGCAGACACAGGGCCCCCTTGAGGCACAGCCGCCTTCTCCTCGGGAATTATCAGACAGCAGCTTCAGGGGGTCACGGCGTGGCTTCTGTCGACTGTCAACACAACCAGGGTTGTGTGAGTCTCCGGAAGTGGTGAAGCCTCCCCTGGCTCCTCTGAATCTTTAAAGCGGGACCACTGTGTCTCCAGCGCCCTCTGTGCAGATCAGGTCACAGGGCGCCCAGCTGGCCAAGGAGCCCGGAGGCAGCGCTGGGAGTGAGCCCCCTGTGTCAGGAGAAGCACACGGTGGGCAGAGGGGCTGCTCAGCGCCCCAGGCCCCGGCCCATCCACTCCACGGAAAGCAAACATGGGCTGGGACAGACTCATGCTGAGACTCCCAGGCTAGGACTGCAGGACGCAGTGTGACCCCAGGATGTGACAGCCCCGGGTCGGAAACCCAGTCAGCCCCAAGAACGGGCTCTTTCTTAGTGTCCAGATGTCTCTCAGATGGAGGCGTAAGAACCCTTCCCTTTGGTGTCATGGAATGCTGGCGAGGCCAAGGGGCCCTCCTATGTGTGTGGAGAGCGCAGTAGTTCCTGACGTCACGCAGGGCTGGCGTAGGGGAAAGCCCTCACAGTTTGACATGGATCCCAAGTGCGCTCTTGCAGTGACCTGCTGTGCTCTCTCCATCTGGTGGCCAACGAGCCAGCCGCAGCCCTCACCTTTGTCTTTCCCATTTCAGGTTTGAGAATGGCAGTGAGTTCACCTCCGAGCCGGAGGACGGCGATGACCCAGCAGCTTATGACACCAACCTGTCCTATTACCACCTGGTCCCCTTTGAGACGGACATTTTGGACTGAGTCTTCACGGGCCCACCTCCTCAGCCCTCAGCTGCTGGTTCTGCTGCTGTTTCCCACTGGGGCCGCCTGTGCCTGCACTGACTGAGCACGGCTCTGCTTCCAGGCCCCGCTCAGCAGCCCGCGCCCGAGGCCTGGTGTCTGGGAGTGGGGCAGGGGGGTTTCTGGGGTTAGCACCGACCCCACGATCTCTGACAACCAGGAGTCAGGCCTGGGAGTCCACAACGCCTGCTGCTGAGGAAGGGCCTCTCCCACTGCACACCTGGCCCATTTCTGCATTCCTAGGACTCCCCCCTCCCACCCCCATCCCCACCCCCCACCGTGTGGAGGAGCCACAAGTGCCTGCAGGACATCACGATGCAAGGGGACCGCCCAGGGCCTTGCTGGGTTCATCCTCGCCTGTGACCGATTCCTGGGAGAAGCCTCCTGGTGCAGGGCCAGGGCCAGGCGCCCCTCCCTGCCATCCCCAGCGCCACAAGCACACGGAACAATCCTCGTGAGCCCTTGTTGAGGCCCAAGTTCAGGGCAACATAGGCAGGGCATCTTAAGTAACCAGCCTTTTCCTGAGAAGCAGGGTGTGTGGCCTCCATTTGTTTTCATCTTCTGTCTGGAAACTGAGGACTGGCTTTGTGTCAGCCACAGTGGGTGTTTACAGAAGGGGATTGTGGATGGGGACGGGAACGGGGCTGAGCTAGTGATTTTCCTCAACAGGAAGAGACCCTTGCCTGGCAGGCCAGCATCTCTTCAGGGTCATGTTGCTGTGGCCGCCTGGGCCCCCGAGGTTTGTCTCCTGGCTCCCAGCTCCCCACACGGAACCGCCATAGTAACGTGAAGGAAGAGAGTGAGAGGAAAGCCACACAGTTTGCCTCTTTTCCTCTGCCCTCAGGGAGGGCCTGGGGCCTGTGTGCTTATCTCCTTTATTTCTTCACAGTGTCTACTAAGGACCAACATTTGTAACAATGTAAATATTAATAAATTATTGAAGTCCTAATTATTTTACACAGTCTGTTTTTAAATCTATTTTAATGAAATAAAATATATTACTCTCCTTTTATGGACGTAGTGTTTGTGTATAAAGGTCTGCCTCCTTTTATTTAAAGCTCAGGGAGGGGTGGAAGCCTAACCCTGCCCTCAGGTGTTTGGGTAATTGTGAAGGGTTTTCCTCTTCTCCATGTTCCTCGCTGGAACACATTCTGTGGCCCAGCAAACCTGTTCTGTGTCCCAGCTGCACACGTGGGATTTCCCTTCTGCCTTCCAGCTGTGCTCAGTTTGCTGCGTCCTCCTTTCAGGGAGGCTGTTAGATGGCTGATGGGGGTTGACCAGTTGCCTTCCTTCTCTTGAGGGATAAATTCACTTCTGTCCAAGGATAGGGCTGGGTGCTTAGCAGTTAAGGTTAGAGTCTATCACCAAAGAAGTGAAAACATGTCCACACAAAGACTCAAAAAGCCAATTTGCTCATGTATTCATCCAGTGGATATTTCTACAATGCCTGTGTCACTGAAGGGACACTACTCGCACCAGAAACCTAGGCTGCCTGGTGAACAGGGTGGGGAGGTGTGAGTCCATGCTCTGAATCACTCCCAATGAGCTGTGAGAGGCACCTTATACTCTCAGGAGCAACAAAGCCAAAGCCGTATATGAAAAGGCTCCGCTGTGGAGCAGGCGGTGCTGTCCACAGGAAGCCACTGCAGAGCTCTGGCCCTCAAATGCACACATTGTAGGGACTCCCAGAGCTGTAAGCCAGCTGACAGGCCGAACTGCGAGGGTTTAATCTTCTGGATAAAAGAGAAAAAGAGTATTTGTAATAGCAACATACTGCTGAAAAGATTGCCTCCATGTTTACATCTGGCTATGTGCTTTCTCCTCTGTGAAATCAGTAGCATCCTAGTGTTACCAGAGATTGCGTGGCTTGCCTTTCTCCCTCTGTGGTTGCCTTTCTGTTATTGGAGAATTGCGTGGATTGCCCTTCTCTATTGCTAGTGGGAGTGGAGTTCTAGGGGTGCCACTGGAATTAGCATTCCCATAGGCCCCCACGGGAGGATAAGAGGTAAAAAGCTTTATTTGTGTTGAATTACATCCCCTGGGTTGCAAAGTTGCATTTCCCTTAAACCAGTCCTGGAAGAAGCTCAGGTAGGGGTTCAGAGAACTAGAAGCAAAGCCAGTGTCCAGAGTTTCCCTTCCATGTTGGGGCCGAGTCGGGTACATCACCAGACTGATTCCAGCCCATCCGTCCATTGTGTGGGCGAGTGGAGTGTGACAGTCCGCAAGCCAGGAGTTAGGTGCAAGCAGCAGAGAGGGAACTCCCTTGTTCAGGAGCTCATGTATCTTGGACTTTACACCCTTGCAGAGGCCACATCTATTCCTTTTTTCTGGATAAGGTGTACAATTACATGATTTTCAGTAAATTTACAGTTAATGGAGTCATCACTACAATCCAGTTTTAAATTTTCCTCTCCCCTTCAAAAGATGCCTTGTGCTTGATTTCAGTCAGTCTTATTCCCATTCCCAAACTCAGGCAACTACAGTGCAGGCTTTTGGCCTTCATGGATTTGTTTTTCCTGGACATTCTATAGATCACTTAGAATGTAGTTTTGTTTTGTTTTTTTTTTGTTTTGTCTAGCTTCTTTTACTGTAAATGTTGCTAGGATGCCCATATCATAGCAGGTGTGCGTGCTTTATTCCTGTTGTGTGCAATAGTCCATTGTATTACTGCACCACACGTGGTTTATCAATCATCAGCTGGTAAACATTTGGTCTGTTGACACTTTGACATTGTGAGGGCTGTGAACACTGGAGCTAAAGTCTTTGTGTGGGTATCCATGATTCTTTTTTCTTGGGTACATACCTATGAGTGGAATCGTTGGGTCAAATGGTACATTTATTAACTTTTTAAGGAATTGCCAATCTGTTTCTCAAATTGGTGTTTTATATGTATATTCTCTCCAGCCTGTTTGAAGGTTCGTTACTTTCTCCTGATAAGACTGGGTATTGTCATTATCTCTGATTGTAGCCATTCCAGTGGCTGTGAAGTGGATTTGATTTGCATTTCCCTCATGCCTTCTGATGTTGAGCACCTTTTCCTGTGCTTATTGACTGGCCATTCATTAATCTTAGATGGAATGTGCAGTCATGTCTTTGCCTATTTTATTTTATTTTGAAATAATTATAAATCACACAAAGTTGCAGAATAATAGAGAAGTCAGATGTACCCTATACTCTTTTTGTCCCAGAGGTAACATCTTACATATTTTACTATATGGTCAAAAGAAGAAGATTGACATCAGTATAGTCCATAGACTTAATTAGGGTTTTCAATCTGTTTTAAACAGATGTGTGTGTGTGTGTGTGTGTGTGTGTGTGTGTGTGTGTGTCCAGGAAGTTTTCTCACATGTATAGATTTGTGCAGGCACCACAGTCAAAGTATGAAACTTGTTATTACCTCAAAGATCTCCCTCATGCTACTCCTTTATATTGAAATGCACCACCCCTACCTACCTGTCCCTAAGCCCTGACAACCACTAATCTGTTCTCCATTTCTATAATTTCATCTTTGAAAGGTGAAATAAATGGGATCCTATGTATGTAACCTTTTGAAATGGGCTTTTTCCAGTCAGCGTAATACCCTTGAGATCAGTACAAGTTGTTGCATGTATCAGTAGTTGTGTTTTTTAAACTTCATTTAGTATTTAGCTATGTAAAGTCTAAGAAAGTAATGACAGGCTCCAGCTTCTTTTTGGCTCCATCACCAACATGAAGGCAAAAGGTCAGCAAAGGAAACAGCCTCACAGGGTGATCTCTCTCTCAGGCCTCCTCTTTCTCAGCCTTTTCTCTTCGCCGGCACAAGCAGAGTGAGCACACCTGTAGTCCCTTGACTTCTGTTCTGTTGCCCTCTGCCCTCTGTGCCTTCACTCTACAAGTCCTATAGCAGCACAGGCAGTGTCTCCCATGTCACCATCCTTCCATGTCCCTCTGAGGACAGGAAGCGTGACTAATTTGCCTATTATCCCATAGCCACTGGGATTGGCTGAATTAATGAATGGGTAATTAAAGAGAATGTGAAAGGAGAAAGGTCACATAGAACAAAGTTCTAAACTGTGTTTCCCAAAAAGAACAGCCAACACTAAACTAACATAATACCTTTAAAAATGTTATGCCCTGGCCCATGTTGCTCAATGATTAGATCATCCACCTGCACAGTGGAGATTCTTAGGTTCGATTCCTGGTCAAGGGCAGGTACCTGGATTGCAGATAAGATCTTCACCCTTGGTCTGGGTATGTGTAAGAGGCACCCAATTGATGTGCCTCTGTCACATAAATGTTCTCTCTCTCTCTCTCTCTCTCTCTCTCTCTCTCTCTCTCTCTCTCTCTCTCTCCTCTATCTCATTCTCTCCCCCTCCTCCTCCACCTCTCCCTTCCACACAAAAAAATAGAAAAAAATAATCAATGGAAAAAATTTCTTGGGTGAGGATTAACAAAAACAAAACAAAACAAAACAAAAGTTATACCACCCAATATCCCAAATTTCTTAATCTACAGAAATGAGTTGTTTCGCCCAATAGCATCAAACACTCAAATCAGAGAGATTATTCCTAAGTTAAGGAAGAAATAACAAATGACAAAAACATATTTTTTATGGTCACTTTAATACTATTCATTAATGATCTTTACTTAAACAGAGGTGGCCTGAATACTTATCTCCATGTATTTTTATAAGTATTAATAACCAAGTACACTAAAAGGAAGTTGAAGCAAAATACCAAATCTTTTCTAAGACTTTTAGCAACATTAACAAACAAACAAACAAAAAAACAAATTTACTCCAAACCTTATATTAGTAATCACTTCTGTCCATAAATGATCAATAAAAGTTCAGAGACAACTGACTGTCTGGTGTAAGAAAAGAGCATTTCAATTATATTTGGAGAATGAGAAAAACTGTGTCTCCTTGGAGCTTGATTACGGCTTGCAAGGATGACCTTTGCACTCCTGAGAAAAGGGGTACT